AACCCTTGTCAAGCCCTGAAGGAAACCTGGTGAGACCAATATACATCATAAGACTCTGGGTCGCGAAAGTTGTGGGAGCATGCACAGTTTAGCGAGTTTAGGGTTTTGGGTTGGTCTGCTGCATGAGCACTGGTCGCAACCTTTCTCCCTAAATGCCGTGACGACCACTGACGCCTGCTGATTGTTTATCTTCTGTCAAAATGGAACATATTGTACATATATATATATATACAGCAAAATGCAACCAGACCTTGTTCTACCTTCTACCTTTCCGGCCTTTGTCTAACAGGGTCTATCTAAATTCACCCTCGATTATCTTTGGGGTTGAAACCCCAAAACCGTAATCACCTGTCGTTAGCTGTTTGGCGCTAGCATCTGGGTGGCCGGCTTCTTCGGTCAAGCTGCTGCACCACCTGCCCAAGGGCTCTCCACTTGGGGTCCAGGGTCAAGGTTGCAAATTTCCTGAAATTGAAGCCAAGAGGATGTAGGCTTCGTGGGTGCGGATATGGTGTTTAGGATATCGGGGTTGGGGTCCGGGATTATATCATCATTCATGTTTACCAATGAGGAGCACTCTGCATTGCGATGGTTGTCAAAACTAGGTCGCTGCAAAAACCAAGGCACATGTTGGAGGCAACCTAATTAAGCCCCAAACCTGAAACCGCAAACCTTGAAGCGCAAACTGCAATCCTTCTTCCCGAAACCGAAAACCTTGAACCCCGAACGGCAAATATTGCACCCTAAACCGCAAACCCAAGTAGCCACGCGACTGTGCAGCTCACATCTACAATCTTGTGCGCAGGCTTTGCTCTGTTCTGTCGGGCAATGCTGACACAGGGGCCTGAAAAGTTAGAGAAGTGTTCCTGCACGGGCGGGTTCTTTAATGGGTTCTGTGAGGAGGACCGCAACAAGTTGGTAGTACCCAGACCTTCCAAAACCCCTCAATAAAGGAAGAAACCTTAAATTATAAAAGGATCCCAAATATGAATTAAGGTATATTCCTTAATTAAAGGATTTTGGAAGGTCTGGGTATCGAGCCAGTGACCCCAGCACGCCAAACGGCACAGCATTGGAATCGAAACTCCAAGCCCAAAAGTAGCACATCATCGTTAACAGTCATAGAAATACACTGGGCGCCACCTAATTTTCCAAACAACGACCGGTACCATACCAGAACCCTCCCTTGAATAACCCCCGAAACCCCTGAACTCCTACACTCCTGCACCCCTAAGCCCTAAACCCACAACCGTCAACACGAACTTTGTGAGCGCCTCAGAACACTCTGCGGCCTCTGGCAACAGGGCCTCCGAGGAACCGTTGTCAAGGGCTTGCGGCTTCAGTGTTTAAGGTTTCGGGCTCAGGAGCTTAAAGGGAACTCCAGAAAGTTGGAATATGGTTTCAGGGTAGGATACCCTATAATTTACCATAGAAGGGTTAGGATAGTCATATTACCTTCATGTTTGCGGGTTCCCGGCTTGAGGGTTTAAGGCTTCGGGGTTTGTTAGGCCCAGGCTTCACGGTTTAAGGTTTTGTGCTTGAGGGCCTAGGGTTGAGGATTTTGGGGTTTAGGGCTTCAGGGTTTCGGGTTTCGGGTTTAGGGATTTACGGCTTCCAGAGTTTCACAGAACCTTGATGGGGTTCTTGTGCAGGGCTTTGTATCAAGTCCTGCAGGGTGTCGTAAGATTTGACTATTCTTCCACAGGGCTTCATAATATGGTGTTCTTGACGATTGCATGGATTAGGACTGAACTTTCTGCAAGTGTTCCCAGTGGCAGGATAGTCAGCGTCGTGCTCATCTGACCCGTCTCGTCGCTGCTGTAAGTGCCAACATTCCAATCGTGATAGCTGCGACTGGTCGCGACGAGTAGCAGTCTTCTTGACCCTAAACTCCAATCGCGAAAGTTCCTGAACCCAAACCTTTCTCGAGGGTGTCGAGAAAATCAATTCGTAGTCTCTGAAACATTGCTACAGCCACTCCTCCCGCACATGTGATTCCTACCCTCCTTGGTCTAGCTGTACAGATTTTCTCTGGACATGATGTTCGTTCTACTATATATACTGGCCATGTGGGCCATGAGTGCGAATTATCTTTTGTTGACACTGCTCTTGCTCGCGACGTTTATGTGTCTAGGCATTCTCCTTCCATGGTTTGTAAGTACCATGATAACGACAACTCTGCTGATGATGTCTGGTGTGATGCTCATGATCATACTGATGAAAGGGTATGAGCTGCTGGCATGAGTGGTGAACATAGTGAAAATGGTACATACAGATACCGATGATGAACACCGCCCGTTGCTACTACCGCTGCAAGTGTCGATTGCCGCGCCACCTCAATCATGACAACCAACAACTGAGTTGTCCTTTAAGCCCTTTGGAAATTATGTAGGGGAAATTACAAAGATGCCAAACGACAACCCAGACAAACTCACGATGGCTTTCTGTGGGCTCATCCTTAGGCTCATCATGATACGTAGGAATCTTTTCTCCAATCACCTCCACAAGCGCAATCTGACTCAGCATCCTCGACGTCATGCCTTTTTCTGATGCGATGCTGTGTTGCATCCCGCCAATATTGTGCTGACATCTTTGACGTTCGATCGTGCATCTCTCGCATGACGATTATGGACGTTGCACTCCTGGTGCTCTTCTTACTGCTCCTGATGCTACATCTTCTCTTCTGCTGGGCAAATACCGGCTTTCCACCACCATCGACACTGCAATCCCGAAACAGTGAGTTGGCGCACCCCGTCTTCTATTGTGAGACCAGAGCATCGATTCTACCGCGGTCCAGATTCAGGCAGCTGCAGAAGCCAACTTGGCCGGCGATAGTGCGGAGTAGACCTGGGCTACAGGAAGCTGCGAGTTCAGGGTTTATATATGGGGAGGTAATTTCGGTGGTTTATATAGGGTTTAGGGGTTTGGGGCTTAGGGTATAGGTTGGTAGATCGAACTTAGAGTAACTGCCCATATAAGTTCCTTCAAAACGTGCGCTCGCGTTCGGGCTCTTTGCCTGAAGGGGTTCCTGTGAGGGTTCTATCTTTCAAAAGGGCTCTTATAAGAGCTCTTTAAGGCTTATGGTTTGGGGTTGTGGCTCGGATTTCAAATTTTCGGACTTTCGGTTACAGGGCGTAAGGTCATACCCAAGACCCCCAAGTCGTCTGGCCTGAACCCACTGGTCACAGGGTGGGGGGTGTGGGGGAGGTGGTGCTCCTAAACCCCTGAACCTTAACACGGAAAGCCGACGCCCTAAAACCATAAACCCTCAGAGCCATCATAGGGATTCCAGGGACACTGCCTGGCCCCTGCAAGTCTCCGGGGTCTGCTTCTGGCTGCTGCCTGATAATGAGAACAGCCTTTCTTCCTCGACCCCTCAGTTCCCGCTGTTAAGACTCTAATATAGGGGCTTGAGTAATTCGTAGTAAGGTTCGGGGTCTCTGATATAGCTGTGTAGCGAGCATAAAGGAATCATCATGTTACTAAATGTCTCAGCTTCTATGTGAACATCGGAGCAACGATCCCATGAAGGCTCAGATTTTTTGGTGGAGATTCAGATATGCCATGCACGAATTGCATGGTCACTTCCAGGCACTTTTGTCCGTGGGCTGTGAGACAAGGGCTTCTCCTGGCACACGCGGTTTCAAAGGTCACGTGTGAGTGGTTGTCAAAATTGTGGTCCCTTTTTGGGTCCCTATTATAATACGGTTTAGGGTACCAAAAAGGGACCCTAATTTTGACAACTACCCATGTAGGTATATAACTATCGTTTTCACAGGGGTTCCGAGATCTGCTGAGAAGCCCTAAACTTTTCAGACCATCTAAAGCGGTTTGAACTTATAGGGCGATAGACCGGTTCTATGCATATCTTCTAAGCTTTCTCAAGTTCTTCGGCTAAAGGGCCCTGAACCCTAATCCCTGCGCTCCAGATCAGCTCGGGGATCCGGAGAGGAGGTGTTCTTTTGGTTGGATTCTGGGACTGGAATACCCGGGCTCTGATAACTGAGCAGTCTTGGGGTATGTTGCACCAGCAGAGAATTTTGGGGTGTATTTTCGTATATAGTAGAAGCCAGAAAGTTGGAACATCAGACTCCTCATGCCCCTAAGGTAAAGTATAAGGGATCCTAGCACTAATCCTCCTAAAGCCATGTTCCAACTTTCTGGCTTCTACTGTAGGTCTGTGAAGGAATCCTGAGGAATAATCCTAAACCCTAAACCCTAAACCCCTAAACCCTAAACCCTAAACCCCTAAACCCTAAACAATTGGGTACTCAGGCTTCGGTCTTACCACGATGCAGGATTCACACGTGGAGCTTCGGCGCCCAGAGCCTCCAAAACCCCCTTAATTAAGGAATATATACCTTAAATTATAATAGGATCCCTTATGTCCCAAAGGGTCCAAGTATCATCATGGTATATACTTAGACCCCCAAAATGCCCTATAAGTGTATACCAGAATGATACTTGGACCCTTTGGGTATGATTTAAGGTATATTCCCTAATTAAGGGGCTTTGGAGGCTCTGGGTGCTTAGTTCCAAACCCTACCTTTGCTAGGAACCCTTACCGAACTTTCAAGGAATCTATTCAGTTTAAAGGAACCTTTAAGGAACCCTTGAATGTTAAACCCCAAACCCCTATACCCGAAAACCCAAACCCCCTGTGAATCCTGTCAGGTTGCCGAAGCTGACATGTACATCCCGATGCCTCTGTGGGCTCAGGTCCGTGAGGCGGGAGGGCTGAGGCCGTCGTAGGACGACGCATGGACCGGTGAGCGCTGGTGAAACGTGCGGGGCACTTGTTATCGACTGACCGGGTCTGTCATTTCTCTCTTATCATTCTGATATTCTCTTCAGCTGGATTTGGGGCAAATCTTCAGACTGCTGAGATTCTTTGGAAGCTGCCAGTGGGAACTGTATTCAGTTCACACTGGTAGCGGAGCCTGAGACTTCGCTACATCAAGCGGCGGCCCGCTGTTAGTGGAAAAGTCGGGATCCAGGGGCAGATGCCTCCGTCATCCAGTCAGCCATCAAGCCAGCCAGAGGCCGGGGCCTCTACGGATGAGAAGAGCACTCTTCCGTGGGCGGCGATTCCTCGGTATGTGCCGGGGGTAACTGACACGACGGAGTATGCCAAGAAGCTCAAGTTTCTCTCAGAGGTTTGGCCTAAGGAACACTTGAGTGCTTTGGGACCAAGAGTTGCCTTACTCTGCGAGGGTACTGCATTCAAGAAAATTAGCAGGTTGGATGCTGCTAAGCTCAAGGCCAACGACACCTCGGGAGTCCAGTTGATTGTTACCACCTTAGGCGGGGCCTGGGGTCAGACAATCCTGGAAGAGAAGTATGAACAGTTCGAACGAGCGATCTACAGTACTGTTCAGCGGAACGATGAGACTCATGACTCCTACCTGGCCAGACATGATATTCACTTCGAGGAGTTGTTAGCCCAGAACATCTCGTTTGAGGAGCTCAGATCGTATGTGCTACTGCGCCAGTCACAGCTGAGCAGTGAGGACAAGAAGCGGATTGTGATTGAGCACAGTGGAAAGTTGACTTACGATAAGGTGAAGGCCTCAATCAGACTTCTGGGTTCCAGATTCTTTGGAGAGATGCAAGGTCAACGTAGCAGCCAGCGCAACAAGGTATACGATGCCAACACCCTTGAAGAAGACAGCACCGATGAACCCGAGAAAGCTTTCCAGGCAACCGCATCTCCAAGCATTCCAGCCGTCGAGGAGAATGAGTATGAGCTGGAGCCTGAATATCTCGAGGCCATGGTGGCTTCAGAAGATCAGGATGCTTTGCAGGTTCAGGCCTTTGAGGAGGAACTGGAAGGCTTCTTCCAGGAGACACCAGATTTGCAAGAGGCATTGGTTTCCTACTTTGAGGCAAGGAACAGACTGTTGGCTAAGAAGAAGAGCCGAGGCTTCTGGCCAATCAGTGGTGCGGGTCAAAGCAGCAAGGGTGGCCGTCCGTTCAAGGGCGGTAAGAGCGGAAAAGGAAAGGGCAAGAGCTCTCGCGAGCAGTTGCTCGCGCGAATCGCCCGCAGCGTGTGCAGAGCCTGCGGAGAACGTGGACATTGGAAAGCGGAATGTCCCAAGTTTGGACGTCCAGGATCCATGAGTGGCAAAGGCGAGGCAGCCACCACCACAGTGGCTGAGGTCATTGAGGAAACCGCCGCCAACGCGGCTTCCGGATCTCAAGCTGCGGCTGTGCTTACCACGGTGCCCGAGGATGCGATTCCATTGGCCGAGGCCAATGTTGCAATATGCCTAGACCAGAGGGAACATGTTCTTGGAAGCCTTAGAAGGGTAGCTGCCAACCTGAAAGCCCGAGCTGCCCAACCCAAACACGTGCAAAACAGGCAGCGCAACGCTGGGAAGGCCTCCTCGACTGAAGGTCCGGGCTCTCTGAAAGCTTCAACCAACATGCAGCCTCAGCTCCGAATCCCAAGAAGCTCCTTCAGGCCCCCAAATGCGGTTGCGTATGTCCTCAATGAGCCTGTAAGAGCTATCCTAGACACCGGAGCTAGTCGCTGTGTGATGGGAAAGCGCCTCCTTTCTTCCTTCGTCAGTCAGCTGAGCGATGCCACCCGGGCAATGATCAAGGTCACTAAAAGCGCGGTTAAGTTTCGGTTTGGGAACAACCAGACGCTTACCAGTGAGTTGCGGGTTCTTTTGCCATTCCGGGCAGCGCATCAACAGGTTTTGTGGCTGAGCATTGAGATTGTCCCAGGTGGAACACCGCTGTTGTTTAGCAAGAAGGCCATTAAGCAGCTAGGAGGTGTAATCGACACTTGTGAGGACGTGTGCCACCTGAAGTGTTTGCAGAAGAGCCTCCGGCTCAGCACCGGACCGACCGGTCTCTACATGATAGACCTAGCCCGCTTGTGCGAGGAAAGCGGCCAGGAGCAGATGTGCCATCATGCCAGTGAAGATCGCCCTGAGCCTCACTTCAGCACAGCCCCATGCGTGCCCGAGACAGCCAACCCCAATGCTTCCGTAAACCCTAAGAGCTGTACAGACCAGGGTTGTGACAGTAAGGGGGTAAGGCAAGCGAATTCAGGTTTTAGGAAGTCCTGTAAATATCCAGGAGATGTTAATGATGAAGTGAAGCAGATGTTGAAAGATCCGTCTGCAAACACCAGCCCATCAGCTGATGCCACAGATGTACGTGTCAACAATGCAGCAGTGCCTGAGCTCAAGATTCGTGCGGACTCCACCCAGTCCACTACGCTTCAAAAGCCCATCCCGTGCCAGCATGCCATCGGAAAGCGCTTCCTTGTCAGATCGTTTCGCCCGCATGGTGAACCCCTCACTCCACCACTCGTTGGAGGACCTGGAGGGAATGTCGCTGGAACGGATGGGAGATCTTGTCATCGACTTTGGCAAGGCCATGAAGGGAAAGAGGTACGAGGACGTGATCCAGAACGAAGGGGATTGGGTGAAATGGTTCATAGACCATTACAAAAGCTCAGGAAAGCACGCTCACAAAGCATTCTTGACATATGTCGAAAAGTACGTTTCACAAGCAGAACAGATCGAGAAAGAGCTCCTTCACGACGAAGGGGTCTCCGAGCCTGCTCCGAAGGCTGTCGCCGGTCGTCCGAAGCCGAAGGCCGCTCCACGCCGGACCCTTGCAGCATCATCCAATCAAGCCCAAGTGGATCAGTGGGACCTGCTGTCCGTGAGTGGAGAGACCGAGCCGGCTCTCGACAACCAAGTTTCCGCGCTCGCAACGCGCATGACGCATATCGAGCATGTGATGGAGCAGATGTTGTGCGCGATTCAACAAATGCAGTCGCCGCCACCTGCTCAGTGAGTTCGTCCGATGCCGGTTCGCAGCCTAGGGCCACTCCAAACATGTCAGGTTCTGTGACTCTTCAAACTGTTGAGCCCCGGGCCCGTGAGCTCCTTCACAGCGAGGCTAGTGCCACCAGGCTAAAGGAATTCCTAGATCAGGTCCCCTGGCATGCCATCCGGAGTCGGTTCTCACCGGTTCGAGGCACCGTTCAGCCTTCGTGCCAGGGAAGCGGCAAGCCAACCGCCTATGTCGTGTTTGGTACTTACATTCATGGCGGGGTCGTAGGGATAACTCGCGTAACAATGAAGTTCCCTTGGTTAGCCCGAGTCCTGGCCCGTTTAATGCAGCTTACCGATCCACGACATCGCTTTACATCCATTGGGATTGCGTGCAATAGTTTGTCTTGCCCTCATCGAGATCAATACAATTCCTCGAAACATCCCAATTTGGTAGTACCTGTGAAGGTTCCTAGCAAAGGGGGTGAAGTGTGGGTCGCCCGAACCTCCGACGATGAGCCTCAGGCCACCCAGACAATGAGCTGCAGCGGTAAACAGGTTCAGGGTTTCCTTAGATCAATCGGTCAGGGTTCCCTAAAACTAGATCCTCATGTGTGGCACGCGACGATGCCCTGGAGAGGCGACCGCACAGTGGCGATCGGATACTCGCTGAAACATGCCTATAAGCTTAGGACGGGTCAGGTGGGCTGGTTAAGACGCCATGGTTTCGCCTTTCCTAGCCGGGTTAATTTCGGAAAGGAATCCACGCTAGTGGCCAATGAGGCATGCGAGTCGAGATTTCCCGAGCCACTGTCTGAGGATGTGCCTTTGAAGCAGGCAGCCGTGCGAGCTGCCCATGCCTGTGCTGAAGCAGTTCTGCGAGCCGAGGAGGTTCATCGCCAATCCCAGCTCATGTGGAGCTCACCGAATGTCCCACTGCTAGATCTTCTTGAGATACATGCCTCCCCAGATAGCCGGTTGACGAGTGAGATTAATAGATGTGGGGGATCTGCCCGTAGGTTTACCACCCTAGATGGCGATCTAGCTACGGAACAAGGACAGCAGTGTTTGTGGGATTTGGTGAAACGAACCCAACCGAAGCACATTTGGATCTCTCCGGAGAGTCGCTGCTGGAGCTCCTGGTCAGCTCTCAATGCCGCTCGTAGCACCCAACACCATGCCCGAATGTTGAAGGACCGGGAAGCCTCGCAAGCGCAGCTCAGATTGTGCGTCCAGCTCTGTGACTGGCAGAGGCGACACTTACGGGATTTTCATATGGAGTTGCCTGGACAGATCAAGGTGAGGGATATGTCCACCCTTAGACCGCTTGTAGATAAGACCATAAGATCCCAAGTAGACATGTGTGCTTTTGGTTTGCAGTCTCCCGTGAGTAGGCAACCCATCCGCAAACGAATCCAGGTGTTTAGCACTTCCCGTGATATGTTTAAGAGTCTTCAAGGTAAGATCTGCCCCGAAGATCATGTTCATCAGCCTCTGTCAGGCCGCGTTCTCAAAGGGGTGCCTTTGTCACAGTTTGCCGGGACATACTGTCACGGATTTGCAGAGCACGTTGCCGCCGTCATTGTGTCGGGAAACACGTTTCCCGCATTGGCTGTCGAGAATGGGATACCTGCCACCCGTAAGCGGTTTAAGACCTCCCTAGGTAGTCCCGCCCCGGTTGTTAGGATAGAGCCCCAAAAGCGTGCCCACGAAAATTCCCTAGACGACAGCCAGCCCTCAGAGTCGAAGCGCCGCTGCAGCAGTGTCGTGCATGCCATGTCAGAGTTGCCCGAGGCAACGTGGATGCCTGTGTTCACATCAGCCGCTAACTTGACAACTAAGGGTACAGTTTTAATACCTCCCGAAAGCGAAGCCGCCCGAAAGCTACAGCAAGTCCTCGAGAACGTTAATGTACTGCAAGCTTTTGTGGGTCGTAAGGTCCGAAACCTACAACACCCGCTTGGAGCCCTGCCACCCACCGTAGCACCAATGAGACTTAGTCTGGGACTTCGTACAACGGCTGATAACCAGGTCAAGCTTTTGTGTCTGGGTAACGAAGATCGCACTACGATGTTAGCCGAACGAAAGAAGATGCGTATTGAACCCCAGGACACACTCTTGACGATTTTCGGCAAGTCTAAGGATTCCCCAGATGTTCCCCAAAGTAACGTAGCAGGTGATACCCAGGCAAGCAGTTCAATACGCAGCTCGGAGGGGTGTGATCCACAAGCCGGCTCCTTGCCGGACATGCAGGGATGGGCACCGCCGCCCATTCCAATCCATGGGCCTGCCTTTCGGAATCTTAGTAAAGAAGATCGTAGTCAACTAATCCGCATACACAACAACCTTGGCCATCCAGCCCCGACTACCCTAGCCAAGCATCTTAAAGCAGCTGGAGAGAAGCCAGCAATGGTAGAAGCAGCCCTCGACTATCAGTGCGACGCTTGTCTTGAAGCCACGGAACCCCGACATCAACGACCCAGCAAACTACCTGAAGCCCTAGAGTTCAACGACTTGATCGGGGTAGATGGTTTCTTCTTTAAGAGCAAGTCTGGATTCCGAGCGTATGTGCTACATGCTCTAGATGAGGCCTCGTGCTTTCACTTGGGCCGACGGGCATTGACCAGGGGCACCACACACGCCACGTCTGCCCTGTCAGACTTTTGGCTATCGTGGGCCGGCAACCCACGACGAGTTTACCTTGATCCTGCAGGAGAATTCCGATCGGAAGAGATTTTAGAGTACTTTCAGGGTCTCAACATTAAGACATTTGTGACAGCAGCGGCCTGGCAACGGGGTAAACTTGAGAGACACGGGGATATCATCAAGGATATGCTGAGTCGACTTGACACACACAGCCCCCTGGCCAATGATGACCTGTTTGACCAAGCGTTGCTTCAAGCATTTCAGGCCAAGAATGCCCTAGTTCGGCACCAGGGATATGCTCCGGAGCAGATTGTACTTGGTAAGTCACTTAGGATCCCAGGTAGCATTACTTCGGATGACGATCTTGCGTCACACTTGTTGGTTGAAGGTGAAGATCTTGAGGCCGAAAGACACCGCAAGCGTCTCGAGTTAAGGTGCCGCGCTAGACAAGTGTTCTGGGACTCTGACAACAGTCAGACCATCCGTCGTGCTCTGTTGCGCCGCAGCAATCCCGTGCGTGGACCTTATAAGCCGGGAGACTGGGTTCTGTACTGGATGCGTAAAGGGTCTCCTAACCGCTTAGCTGCAGGAAGGTGGCACGGGCCCGCCCGTGTAATATCTCAGGAGGGGTCTTCTATCACCTGGGTATCGCACGGGACAATCATTTTACGGTGCGCTCCAGAGAACCTGAGACCCGCAAGCCTGCGTGAGTGGCAACAGCTTTCAGCTGCTGATGCTGAGCTACCTTCTAAGAACGCAGGAGGTGCCAACACATATGTTGATCTCACCAGCCTTAACACCATCTCTGCTCAGCTGATGCCAAGTACCCAGCTACAGTCTAGTGGCGAAGTGATGGTACCCATACCTTCCCCTGCTGTTCCTCGCCCGACACCGGCGGATGACGATGAAATCGCCCAACCCGAACAAGAACTTACCCCACAAGTATCCCACAATCCTGAGGGAACAGACAGTGGACGAGAAGTTGAGCGCGAATCCAGTGTTCCTCCTGGACCCGCAGCCCCTTCTCAGATTCCTGAATCCGTTCCAATCGTCGTCCCTGGAGCTCCAGCTTCAATGTCCGATGCCCCTAGCACAGCTCCAGCTGATGCCTCAAATGTTCCAATCCCCGAAGATGAAGATGATGGACTGCTAGCCGAAAACATCTTTCTTGCGAGCAGTCCGCTGGGAGCATCAGACGACGATGATCTAGGACTGACAACCTTCACCACGTTGCAAACCAGTGCGTGCGCCTCTGGGCCACCCTTGGCCGAGGACAACCTCCCTTTTGTAGAGCAGCCGTTAATGTGTAGTGAGCACCAAGCCTATTGTCTTGAAATTCCAGTAAGGGCTAAAGACCTAAAGAAGTGGGCCAAGGAAACTGCACCCGAACAACTCACTCTCTTAGCCTCCATAGGCAAAAGAGCCCGAGCTGAGGTACATGTGAAGGATCTTTCCAGAGCAGAGCAAATTCTGTTCGAAGAAGCAAAGGCCAAGGAGTTGCAATGTTGGATTCAAACGTCTGCCATTAAGAGTATCTTGAGAAAGCAGCTGAACCCCGAACAAATCCTTAAAAGCAGATGGATCCTTACTTGGAAAAATCCCGAACCTGGGGAAACCCAAAGGCGAGCCAAGGCCCGCCTGGTCGTGTTAGGGTATCAGGATCCTAAGTTAACGGATGTTGTTAGGGATGCCCCAACTCTTTCCAAAGAGGGCCGTGCCTTGGTTCTGCAGACGATTGCCTCATCTCGCTTTGAGCTGAGCTCCTTCGACATCAAAACTGCCTTCCTCCGCGGTAAAGCTGATGAGCAGAATCCTCTAGCTGTGGAGCCCCCAAAGGAGTTACGTAAGGAGCTGGGAATGAGCGATGAAGAAGTGTGCCAACTTTTGGGCAATGCTTATGGACGGGTTGACGCGCCGCTGCTCTTTTACAAAGAGCTCAGTAAGCAACTTCGTGAACTAGGATTCATTCAGCACCCACTTGAGCCATGTGTGTTCTTGCTGTATACCGAAGGAGTTTTGAACGGTATCCTAGGGGTTCACGTAGATGATGGAGTATGCGGCGGAGATTCCAAGTTTACCCAAAAGATTCAAGCTCTCCAAACTAAGCTGCCCTTTGGAAGCCGAAAGTTCCGAAACTTCATTTTTACCGGTATCCACCTTGAGCAGTTCCCAGACTACTCCATTCGTGCTTCCCAAGGTGAGTATGTCCGAAACATCCCGCAAATCGACATAGGCCGTTCCCGTAGAGTAAACCCCGAAGCCCTTGTCACAGAATCTGAGAGATCAAAGTTGCGGGGCTTGGTGGGAAGTCTCCAGTATGCTGTGACTCACACTCGTCCCGACATGGCAGCAAAGCTTGGCGAGCTTCAAGGTCAAATCACTCAGGCCAGTGTGCAGACTCTTTTGCAAGCCAATAAAGTGCTGCGAGAAACCCAGGAGCAAGAGCAAGTGAGCATACATTTTCTCCCAATTCCTCCTAAAGACATCACCTTTGTGTCATTCGGCGATGCATCCTTTGCATCATCGAAGAACCTTAATTCCCATCAGGGAGCACTTGTATGCGCCACAGACAGCCGATTGAACCAAAACCGCGAAGCTCCATTGTCCCCTCTTACCTGGACCTCTAAGAAAATCCCTAGGGTTGTTAGGTCCACATTAAGTGCAGAAGCCTACGCAATGTCCAAAGCTGTGGACATGTTGGGATGGATGCGAGCCTTGTGGGGTGTTGTGCATGTGCCCACTTTCAAGTGGCAACAGCCAGAGGAAGGTTTCAAGAAATTAAATACAGCCGTCATAGTCACTGACTGTAAGTCCTTGTTCGATCTTGTCACCCGCCTGGCAATGCCCGCTTGTGAAGAGCACAGGACCACACTGGAAGTACTGTTGATCAAGCAGCGATGTGCTGAGAATGCATGCTTCAGGTGGATTCCCACCACTCTTCAGGCAGCCGACTGCCTCACCAAAGTCATGGACGCAACGTTGCTGAGAACAGTACTTTCCCAAGGCCGCTTCAAGCTTTTTGACACGTCTAAAGTCCTGGAGAAGGACGCCCAGCGGCGACAAGCCATCCAGTGGCTTTCAGAACCTCCCGCTTCCGAGGAGTCTTGATGAAACGAATCACTGCCCGTAGCTTCCGTCATGAGTCTTAACCGACTCCCACAAGAGCCTTTTCTGCCAACGTCAAGAGTCTTTAGAACTCCTCTCATGTATAGGGCAGATCGGGATGCACTTGTCCCAATAAAATTGGGTCAGTGTGAATCCTGTCAGGTTGCCGAAGCTGACATGTACATCCCGATGCCTCTGTGGGCTCAGGTCCGTGAGGCGGGAGGGCTGAGGCCGTCGTAGGACGACGCATGGACCGGTGAGCGCTGGTGAAACGTGCGGGGCACTTGTTATCGACTGACCGGGTCTGTCATTTCTCTCTTATCATTCTGATATTCTCTTCAGCTGGATTTGGGGCAAATCTTCAGACTGCTGAGATTCTTTGGAAGCTGCCAGTGGGAACTGTATTCAGTTCACACCCCCAAACCCCTGAAACTCTAAGGGAACCCTTAAAAGACTCTTGCCAAAGGGACCCCTTGGGCTGGTCCTCCACAGGGCAAGCGCTAGCCGAAAGCCTGTGGCCCCGCGTGTTCTGCCTGCAGCTGCTGCTGGAAGGGTTTAGGGTTCAGGGTTCAGGGTTTAGGGGTTTAGGGTTTAGGGCTTTAGGGGTGTAGAGCTTTGGGTTTACGGGTTTAGGGTTTAGGGGTTTAGGGTTTAGGGTTTTAGGGGGGCTTGAAGGCTTCAGGGGATCAGGACTGTAGGGGGGGTTTAGTACTGTAGGGCTGTTGGGCCTTCGTGGTTTTGGGTTTAGGGCCTTCGTCGGCCTTCTGTGCTTAGGGATCCTGCACCACTGTACTTGATGCATCCCAAATCATGGGAAGTCTGGCGTGTGGGTTAGGGTTTAGGGTTTAGGGTTGGTTTAGGGTTGAGGGTTGAGGGAGTTATCCGAAACCCTAAACCCTAAATCCTAAAGCGTATAGGGCGGCGGTATGGCGGCTTGAGGTTCAGGACATTGAGGTGCGACCTGAAATCCACAACCCGGAACCCGACTCTGTTATACACGAACGAAACACAAAACACAGCATCCCTAAACCCCAGACCCTACACCCTAAACCGACCGTAAGATTGAGGGTTTGGGGCTTTGGGTTGCGCGACCTTCTTAATGGGAAGAGTGACTGCAAGGGGATAGTAATACCAAGTGATTCAAGGCTACTGCCAAGAATCATAGCCACCGTCATAGTCATGATCATGCTGATATTAATTAACACTACTAATCATGACAATAGAACATGGAGCCTATTCCCACAACCCGAGGCATTGGGATAAGCCGTAAGCTACATATCGCTGAGCCTCAAACTCTTGCCTCTAAATGTAATCTAGCCATTGCATGGCATCGTTTCATCGTGGAACCCATCCTCCGTCAGAAGGCTGCATCGCCGCCTTTCGTGTCTGAAAGCGAAAGCCCTTGATAAAATCAACCTTCGCTCCGGACGCACGGCAAAGAGAATTAGGATGCCTACTGTAACCGTAGCACTACACCTTAATCCCTAAACTGCGGAAACCCCCAAAGCCATGATTACTGTAGCGATGGGGTTTCTTACTCAGGCTCAAAATAACATGGAATACTAGCATATATACTGGAATATCCTAAAGCCTGCAAAAATATGTTAATGTAGGGGCCCTAATAATCAGAATAGGATTTGGGGTGGTATATTCTACTATACTTAAAACAAGGAGCCCAAGCAAAACCCCAATTAATTATTCTACCTTCTTAAGGCCCCCACATAACCAAGCACTTCCATGTCAGACAAAGCTTACCCTTAGTTAGTAGGGATTGGAAGCATATGGAAGAATGGTAGTCATAGTAGTTACAATTGTACCCCAGTCCTCCATGCCCTACTAACCAAAGGTAAGAAGCCCCAAACCCTAAACCCTAAACCCCTAAACCCTAAACCCCTAAACCCTAACCAAAGGTAAGAAAGTCGGGCCTCTGAGGCAGGCGAAGACTCCTCACAATTGCCATCTTTGGCCACAAAGCCTTGGCTGACTTCTGAAGCCCTCCTAAAAGTTAAACTTTTAGCCTCCTTAGTATAGTTCATATAGAAACCCCAAAAGTTAAAGTCTAAAGAGCCAACCAGAAGAACGCCAAGAAGCCCCGGCCGCAGAAGCAGGACCCGGACTTGCAGGCGCTGTGCTCTCTGGTGCAGTAGCCTCAGCTGTGGGTTTAGGAGCGTCTAGGCTTTCGGGGTTTTGGGGTTTAGGGTTCCCTAAGGGTCCAAAGGACCCAATAATTAGGTACTCGGGTTTAGGATAGTAGTTATGTAACTCATTATTTAGGAGAGTACATGATAATCAGGTACTTGGACCCTTAGGGGTTTAGGTGGGAGGGTATGAGGGCTTAGGGATTCCTGTTTGGCGGTTGACATGGCAAGCTAGCGGTTTCAGAGATGGCTAACAGGCCTACGGTTGTTGGATGTTTTGCCCTAGACTTTGAAGCAAAAAGCCAAAATCCTAAACCCTAAGCTCTAAGCCCTGAACCCCTAAACCCTAAAGCCGAAACTCAACGACCTAAACCCAAAGCCTAAACCCAAACTCTAAGGGCTACACCCTTGCACTGGCTTTGGGACGAAGGGCCAGGGTTTCTGAACCCGGTTCCTAATACAGGGGTCTTTACAATCAGAAAAGGGCTTTGGGGCGCAATATACGGTGGTTATCATAATAATTAAGGAGCTCCCCAAAAAAGTATTGGCAATTCTTGAGGCCCCGATTGCACGAAGAGGAAGCTCCCTCCCCAGAAGCCATAAACCCTGAAACCTCAACTTATCAAAGGACCCTTGGGGGTTGGAAAAATTCTGTGGTTTCGGATTTAGTGCTGAGTCCCTGAACCTAGAAACTGTAGGTCCAAAGCCTCTCTATGACCTGAAATTTTGGACCGCGATCCCGACAGTCTCTCAAAACCCCACAGCACCCCAAACCTTCCAAAAGCTCTGTGAAAGTTCCAAGACCTGAACACAACCCAACCCTAACGGCAAACCCTCAAGCCTAAACCCTAAACCCCTCAGTGCATGAAGCCGAAAACCGACACCCTAACCCGCAAACGCTCATAGAATAGCCGTGTAGCTTCTCAAAAACCTGAACAATCCTAAAGCCGAAACCCGAAAACCGAAACCCCAAAATTACTAGACCCTCAACCCCCATCCTTAAACCCTAAACTCTCGTAAAATCGTTCTTGTAACCGTTATAGTAACCCTAAACAACCCAAACAATAAACACCCCGAAACCCTAAATGAACCCTGAACCCTCCTTCCCCTAAGCCACGGCCAGCCCAAACCCTAATCCCTACACCGAAAAATCCAGAGGCCTAGCCCAAACTCTCATAAAAATCATAGTGGAAAGCCTTCTTAAACCAGGGCCAGCTTTAGCAGTAAGTAACCCTACTTAAAGGATCATGGGACTTAGGGACGAGGGTCATAATTAAGGTAACTATACTTATAGCTACTTAAAACCTCACTTAGGGTACCTATAACCTCACTTACTAAGTCCCATGATCCTCCAAGTACGCCCTAAACCCTAAACCCCATAGATCCCTTTTAAGGAACCCCTATAGATCCCTTTTACGAAGCCCTTTTAAGGAACCACACTCTCAATTTTATATCTTCAGCAACCCTAAATCGTCAACCCTGAACACGGAACCCTGAACCACTAAACCCCTAAAACCCCTAAAACCCCTAAACCCCTAAACCCTAAACCCTAAACCCCTAAACCCTAAGCCCTAAACCCTACCATTATAGATTCCTTTAAGGAGCCCTTATGGATCCCACTACCAGGGTTCCTTTAAAGGAACCCCGAAACGAAGACCAGCCAAGAGGCCGAGCCAGCTGCAACTCTCGCCGGTGCGCGTCCCCAGCGCTGTGACGGGCCCGGCGGAGTTGGGTTCGCCTTTTTGGGGGTGTACCCTAAGGCCCCAAAGTAGTTCCTTTTTGGGGTTCATATTTAGAATCCTATAAGGTAATCCCAAAAAGGAACTACTTTGGGGTTTACCTATAGTCTCCATTGTAGTTCCTTTTTTGGTTAATCAGTTTTATGGTTAGGCTCCTATAATGGAGGTTTTGGTTAACCAAAAAAAGGAACTACAATGGAGACTATAGGTAGGTCTCGGATCCTTTCTTAATGCTTAGATTTTGAGTGCTTTCTTTAATGGTTTAGGGTTTAGGGTTTGGGACCTTCAAGGTTTAGGGTTTAGGGTTTGAGGGTGTAGGTTTTGGGCCTTTTTTTAACGGACTTTCAAGGTTTAGGGTTGAGGCTTCTAGGTTTTGGGATTTGTGTTTAAATGGACTTTCAGGGTTGAGGGTTTGGGGTTTGGGGTTTAAAGGTTAGGTGTTAGGGTTTAGGGGTTTAGGGTTCAGGGGTTCGGGTTTAAGGTTTAACTAGACTAGGGTATACTTGCTCATATACAGGTTTGACTGGGGTTACATGGGTGGGATTGTCAAATTGTCACCGGGTTAGTAAAAGCGCCTCGTTGATAATTCAGCAGCTGGGGCTCTAAGGCGCTATGCATGTACAGCGGTACTAAAAGGGGAAACTATCACTGCCCGAGTTTTCCTTTAAGCCCTTTGCAAAGTACTTACTATTATGGTTCTCTACAAAATAGCAGGGGAAATTGAACAAGATCCCAAAGGACAACCCAATCACTGACTATCCCGAGACCGCTCCGTTACTTCGGGTACCGAGGATCACCGATTTGGAGTTAGGAATTTCGGGATTCAGGGCTGGGGCTTTGTTTAGGGTTTCAGAGAGTGGTGTCCGGCGCTCTCATGCATCCGTCCGAGCAATAGGCTGAATCTGGCTGCATGGCAAGAAGCATTTGCCGGCCATGGCCACGTAGCCCTGCTGCAAGCACCCAATGCTCCCGGATAGCTGTTTGGCTTAGGGCTGCACGGAACAAAAAGTTTCGACCAGCCTTTCGGGCGCTGCTATACTGGAGGTATTCCGCTAGGCTCAGGAAAATCAAAAGGATAGCTCATGATGCAGGCCCCGATACAACACCCTGCGCCCGAAACTCTAAC